CGTCCGTCCGTCCGTCCGTCCGTCCGTCCGTCCGTCCGTCCGTCCGTCCGTCCGTCCATCTATTCGATTTCTATACTGCCCATATGACTGATGGTTGCTCTGGGCAGTTTACAACAGTGGCAATAATATAAAATCATACAAACATAAAGTGAAAATTAAAATTAATATTACATTTAAAAACAATTAAATTAAAAACGATAGGCCAATACTCTCGGTGCCTATTCAAATGCCATGTTTTGAAAAGCCTGCTAAAATGAAAAGGGTTTTAGAGTTTTCTCAAAAGGTCCCCAGAGAGATGGTCAGGAGGCTTTCAAGTGGCAACTCATTCCAAAGTCAAGGAGCAACCACCAAGAAGGCTCAGCCTCCATCCATCCATCCATCCATCCATCCATCCATCCATCCATCCATCCATCCATCCATCCATCCATCCATCCATCCATCCATCCATCCATACATCCATCCATCCATCCATAAATAACACCCCATCCAGCCTGGGATGTGCTGGTAAAATGGACAGTCTGTGTTCAGCCAAGGTGTGGAAGTTCCATTTCTGCTCTAAATCACTTTAAATGATTTCCTCATTTCATACAGGGCTCTGTTTCTTGCATTTCACATATGCAGGAAATTGCACTTTGCATGTTTCTTTTTTGCAATATTTAATGACACTGGCTGGATACCTCAATAGTTAGATATATAGCTACAGAGTTAGAGGCCGAGCATCCAGTTTCCCATTATGCCTCTTGCCAGCTTCTGTAGCCTTGGGAAAGCTTCAGAGTCTCAGGGTGCTCCCAGAAGAAGGGAATGCTAAACCACTTCTGAGTATTCTCTACCCTGAGTATCCTGAAAAGGGTTGCTATAAGTCAGAATTGATTTAATGCATATGATTTATTTTACAGTAATGACAGGATTATGATAGGGATTTATGTAACACTAACTACCTTTGATTAACTAGAATATAATCTGTTCAATTCCTTACTGACTACCCTTGATTAACCATACAGCATCCTTGGTGGTAATTAAAAAGTGATGTAATTGACCTCATGTGTTCCTTCACAAACTCTTTCAACTGTCCAGATTTGTCCAGAGGCTGGGCCCTCTTAATATAAGGCAGCTTTTCTACTGTTCTCTTAAGGACTTCAACCTTTTGTTCCTGTCAATGTATTAATTTCAGATGTTGATACAAGACACAAAGAAGGAAGCTCCCTAACTGTGCCACTTCTTTCTCCAATTTGTTGCCCTCCTGTCGTGGATTCCAATACCTGAACATCTCCCTAAGAGCCCTACAGAACTTTATAGATCTCTAGGGAAAAATCAGAAGCTTGTGTTTGTCACAGCTGGCATTTATCCCCACGAGAGTTAATTCCAGAATGAAATTAGATTATCATTTTCAACCATATCAAAATTCATCTGTGTATCAAGGTGTAATTTTTTTCATTGTAGCAATAATTTCAGGCAACATCAGCCTATCTAATTCTACAATTTTTATTTATCTATATTGCTTCTTTGTTCCATAGATACAGTGGTGCCTCGACTTACAAACATCCCTACTTACGACCATTTCGACTTACGATCAGCTCCGGTTGCAAAAGTTTGCTTGTACTTGTGACCAGAGCTTCCACTTACGAACAGAAAAGGGCAGGGGGAAAAGGCAGGAAATTCAAATTTCTAACTGTACATGGCGACGAGGCTGCTTCTTTGTAGCTCTTTCGCCCCAGCAGTTAGACAATGTGTGTCGTTGTCGGAGGCTTGGGACTGCCTCCTTCTGCTTCAGTGTGTGTGTGTGTGTGAGTTTGTAGGGAGGTAAGCTGCTGTTTTTTAAAAACTGTTCTGGGTGGATTTGAGCTGGGTAGTGGGATTATGTTTCTATGCTGTGATGGGTCTTGGGGGGGACTGTGTTTTTTTTTTCTCCCCCCATTTCCAATGGGTCTGTGCTGTTTTTTAAAAACTGTTCTGGGTGGTTTTGAGCTGGGTAGTGGGATTATGTTTCTATGCTGTGATGGGTCTTGGGGGGGACTGTGTTTTTTTTTTCTCCCCCCATTTCCAATGGGTCTTGAGGGGTTGGTTGCTTTTTGGATTTTTGACTTTCTTTTTTAAAACAGAGAGACTGCCTGTTCTGGGTGAGTACACTGTATTTACTGTATAGGGTTTTTGAAGCTTGGGTTTGGGCTAGATGGGGGGTTATGTTTCTGTCCTCTGATGGGTCTTGCAATATAGATTTAAAATGTGAAAAGTAGACTGTGATATGAAATTAAAATTAAATGTGAAAATTAGGCTGTAATTTTAAAATGTAATTTTTTTTGCATTCTGTGGTTCCTAGGGTTTGTGTACTGTGACCTCTCTTTTGTTTTAAAATGTGACTCCAGAGTTTTTTTGTTTTAAAATCAGAACATTTTCTGCGAGGGTCTGCTGTGTTGGCTGGTATTCATGCTGAAAAATAGAATTTAGACTCAAGTCTCTCTCCCCCACCCATTGTCTTCTCTATCTCTCTATGCCAGTGATGGTCAACATTTTTAGCTTGAGTGCCCAAACTGCAACACAGAATCAACTTACTTATTTCAAAGCACCAACACTGCAATTAAAACCCGAATACTGAGGTTTTAGTTTAGAAAAAGCAACTGCTCCTGCACTGCAAGGGTTAAATGCTTGCACTTTTTTTTCAATGGTCGGTATTAACAAAGAAATACTTACTGGTCCTCCAATCCCCCATTGGGCTAGACCAGTAATGGTCACCATTGCATCCCTCCGCTGGGCCACTGCACCAGCAGAAGGGAGTACCAAAATCTGGGATCAGAGGACAGGTAAGTATTTCTCAATGGTGACTTATGGCTCGGGTGCCCACAGAGAAGGCTCTGTGTGCCAGCTGTGGCACGCGTGCCATAGGTTCACCATCACTGCTTTATGCTATCTTTTTGTGCTGAGGGGGTCTGTTTGCTGGAATAATGGTTGCTGGATTCTGTGGCTCCTAGGGTTTATGTACTGTGGTATTCTGAACAGTACTCATGGCAAACTTTCTCTCTGCCCCATTGTCTTCTCTCTCTCTCTCTTCTCTCTTTTTGTGCTTAACAGCACAAACCTTTATCTAAGGGGTCTGTGTGCCCCAGTGATTACCTTTCTTTCCTCTTTTCCCCATTATTCTCTCCCTCCCTCCTTTCCTGCCCTTTTTTAACCTAAGTCATCTTAGGTTAAAAGAAGAAAAATTCTCCCCCTAGTGGTAGAGGACAGATTAACTGCTTTTGCATTAGTTCCTATGGGAACAAATGCTTTGACTTACAACCAGCGCCTTTACATACAACCAAAAAACAGCTGGAATGAATTAATTGGGTTTCAATGCATTTCAATGGGAAATGCTGATTCCACTTACAAATATTTTGATTTACTACCATTTTCTGAAACGGATTATGGTCGGAAGTCAAGGCAGCAGTGTACAAAGTTGTTGCAAAAACATCTAAAAGTCTTACAGCTGTGGAAAAACTGAAGGCCAAAATACTTTAAAATATATATGACAACTAAACTTAAATTGTAGGTAAGTCAGAATTCGATCTAAAATATAGTCAAATATATATTTTAAGATTCAAAAAAGAAAAATGGGAATGCTTCAGTTACTTTCTAAAAATGCAAGAGCTTACAGTCTAAAAAAGGCAAAGTTTTTTTAAAAAAAGAAATACAACTCTAAAAATATCAGTTCTTAAAATTTAAAATCTATTGAAGTAAAATATATTCCTTAACTGTTAGCATTTCTAGACACACATGAACTATCATTAACAATGTTCTTTGCCAAGTGAGTATCTTTGGGGGGGGGGGAATCATGATTCTTGTTAATACAGTGGTGCCCCGCATTGCGAGGTTAATCCGTTCTAGATTAACCGTCGCTATGGGGAAACATCGCTATATGGAATGGAAAATGCCATAGAAACACATTAAACTTAGTTTAATGCATTCCTATGGCTCTTAAACTCACCGTTCTGCGAAGTTTCTCCTCGGTAAGCGAGAGCAGGGCACGAAAATGGTGCAGGCAGCCTTTTTCTGCACCCGGCAGCCATTTTGGAACTTGGTAAGCGAGAGCAGGGCATGAAAATGGTGCAGGCGGCCTTTTTCTGCACCCGGCAGCCATTCTGGAACTGCCGATCAAGTGTTCCTAAAATGGCCACCGGGTGCAGAAATGATTGCAATGCGATGTTTAGCCTATCTAAACATCACAATGTGATCACATTAGCGACCCCAAAAAATGGGTCGCTATGTGGATTCATCGTTAAACGGTGCGCTCGTTAAGCGAGGCACCACTGTATCTGGTTTGTGTGGCATAGCATGTCATTGCCTTGTGATAAGCCAAAAGATTTAGATGAATTTATTACAATC